ACTTGCACGCACACACACACACACACACACACACACACACACACACACAGACAAACGCTACTGAAAACATAACCTTCTTGGCGAAGGTAATTAAGTACCATAACGTGTGCATCCTACCTGTACTGAAGCCTTTGTGAGGTAGTGGTGGCAGCGGGCGACGAGCTTTGTTGTCTCCACTGTGCGCCATCTAACATGGAGCTTTTCCGTTGTGCCTATCGTCGACCGTACTATGCAATGAAACTGGATACAGTGATCCAAGTGTTGATGTGGGGTTGTGTGGCGCAACGGCAGCGTGCGTGACTCGGAATCAAGAGGTCCCGGGTTCGAGTCCTGACATGCCACCAATCTTGTGCCCTTGGGAAAGGCACTTTACACGACTGTCCCCACTAGGCTCGATTAAAAATGAGTATTGTCTGTCCTGTATTCGTTTCTATGTGCGGGACACAACACCAGCAACAGCTGCCTCTGTTCCGCGTGTATTGCACTGTTGCAATTTCAATAAATAAATAAATAAAATGTTGTGCAGTCACTACAACACTATGTAGATCAAACAAAAGATTTTTTCTCTATACAAATGATTACCTTTAGTTGGGAAAAGATAACAAGCCGCAAGAGAGAGACGCGAAAATGGCTCGAAATAAATTCTAAAGATGCTGCATGTCGGATGATAATGAGGGACCAACACCGTAGTGAAACAGTGTATAAAACAGGTTGGTTTTTAAGCGTTCATAAATTGAATAGCTACATCGTACCTAGACGTATTAAGCAAACCTGATAACTAATTCATAATTAAGACTAAATATGAATTATTCTAACTTTGACATCATAAACCTGATGAACTGATACCTAGGTTTACTCCCAACTATTACAACATTTTTTTTCACTGAAACAACTTTGAAATATAAAAGTTTTAATCACTGTTCAAATGGTTTTCATTCAGTGGGAACATCACATATACACAGCCAGCATCACAGATAAAATGAATGAAATACATCACTGCATCAAAGAAGAAGACAAAGCATTAAATCAGAGCCTTGTCTTGTCCTCACTCTTCCTAGTTATCTGCCATCCACGTTCCGGCATGGCAACAGACATTTTTGCACAATTTTGGCATGTTGACCACTGTCAGAGGGCAACAAAATGTCTTGTTTTTTTCCAAAATCAGGCGAAAATTAATGCGCGCGGGTCATTCATGAAATTATCTGCTGTGGCCCATAGCTAAGTCTGATAGGACTTGCCTATCACTAAACAAAACGTATTCAGTGATTGGTCTGCGTTGCATATCCATTGGTAGATGCGGGTTTTTAAAAAAAACATTGCAGGCTTTCGAGTTAAGTAATTATCTTTCGCACAACACACTGTGTGCTTTTCACTGGGCATGCTCAGTTCATCAGTCTGATATTCATAATCATGGTGTCATGAAAATGAAAAAAAATTGTGCTGGTTAAATCCAGTTGTATTGTAACGTTATAGCATCAACAACTGGTGATATTATTAATATAATCATATCGTTACGTATACAGCTAGATGCAAATATTCGTGACCTTACATGCCCGTAGCCAGGATTTTGTTTGGGGGGGGTCTTCCCACTGCTTGAGGGGACCTCGAGGGGCGCGAGGCTTCTAGGGGGGGTCCGTAAAATGCTCCCCCGGAAAATTTTGAATAATGAACCTTCTTAAATGGCATTTCGTGCATTTTCGAGAAGATTTCCAAGAAAAATATCAGAGGTAAATTTTTATTCAATTTTTATTCAAAGGGAGCAGTTTTTCTCCGATCTTTTCAAGAAAAATCTTGGACCTTTAGGCCACACCAAGTAAATTTTATGGATGACGTCCGCGCGCGCATTGATTTTGGCCTGTTCCTAGAAAAAAAAAACACAAGAAATTCCGCTTCCTGTAACTATGACCAAAGAGTCACGAAAGTGCCACAAATCGTCAGATTGATGTGAAACCCGTAATGCGAAAACAGGACAGGACGATAACTGCTGTTCCACCTGATTTATTGCTGTTTTGATGATTCTTGCTTGTTACACTGTGTCATCTCATTCAATTTGTGTCCTAACATTTGTCGTCTCTTAGTATATTTCTAATCTAGGCATCTTGTTTTTTAGGGCCCTTCTTGTTTTTTTTCGCCCTCTCGCATTAGATTTAGGGTCTCCAAAGGACGTCATCCATAAAATTTACTTGGTGTGGCCTTACATAAAATGTGGACCAAAAAGTGGACCTTTACATAAAATGTGGACCAAAAAGTGGACCTTTACATAAAAAGTGGACCTTTGAGTCTTGTGGGGGGGGGGCGGAACCCCTAACCCCCCTCGGCCACCCGGGCATGACCCTAGCATGTGTAGACCATGAGATATCAAAACCGGAAGGTCTGCTGCAGTATTTAGAAAAGCCGCTAGGGAGCCCAAAATATAAACCAACACCTATACCCACCTACCAGGTTTCATGACAATCCGTCCAAAGCTTCTTGAGTTATCGTGCTAAAATAAACCACACACACACACACACACACACACACACACACACACACACACACACACACACACACACACACACACACACACACACACACACACATATTATCTGTTGCTTGTTACTGTGAAATATAGAGAACATTGTATATCATAGGTTGTGTACGTGTACTTTCAAACGCCTGTATCAGAACATGTTTGTTTTTACTGAGTACTTACGGTTATACATTATGAACCACACGTTATTTGAAGTAAACCGCTTCTTGTTTTAATTATGGACTGACCTCACTTCATAAACCAGGCTATTCAATAATCTCTCTAAGAAAAAAACAAACAATAATAGCCTACAAGAGGTCGGTAAACATCATTAGCTATAATTGGACTCAATAATGATGTATTGTAGCGTTATAGTGGTCATTTGTTGCCATGTTTCACATAATATTCTGTGAGAAGCATATGCTGTTTTCACACGTAATAAATGGTTCATACCATTTATTATACATGTTTTTGCAATGCTGAAGAAAGATGGCGCCCCCCCCCCTCATACTCTCTAAGCAGAGGTTTGGGTTTTGGCTTATTTGTGGCGTGTTTTTAGGCTTCTTTTTTATGAGGGGGGTTTGTACTGGATTCTTTTTTACGCCAACAATTCCAGTGCAAAAAAGAAATAGAAAAGCCCCCCAAACACGCCAAAAATAAGCCAAAACCCAAACCTCCCAGACTTCTGTATCTGTATCTGTATAACCGGTATAACCACCTTTCGACGTAACACACCAGCTTCCCAGGCACGCGGCGCGGCGGCAGCTGGCTGCATTACATCGAACGACTTGTTACACCTAACCCTTTAACATCTAACTCTAAACATTATTTGAAGCTATCTAATGACAATGCCCCTACTGTACTTGGTGACAGCGAGTTCCACCTAACTAAAGTATTAGCCTGACGTCGTTCCTTGAACAGATGATAGTGATAGTTTCTAGTTTAAATCACCAGCTTTAACTAAAAAAAACAAATTTTTGCTTCTAGATTTTTATCCTAAATTTGATTGATGTACAGGTCTGTCGTTAACATTTATCATATGAGAGATGTAAGACGAGAGCTTCAGCTAAAAGCAGACAAAATTTACTCTTAAGGTAGTGAGTCTGTGGACAAAAATGACAATTTCTAGCATGTTAAACACGTAGAATGTTTGGAGGCTTGTTGCTTAAAGCTGGAAGATTGTGTGTAGGTGCTGACCTATTTGTACAATTAGAACCTTTTCTCATAGCTGAAAACGGTAAAATTGGATGCTCGTGTCTGTAACAGCCCCGAGTCTATTCTGACTATTTCGCAATTAGGCAACAGCAAGTAAATTTTATGGATGACATCAGCGCGCATTAATTTTCGCCTGATTTTGGAGAGAAAAAACAAGAAATTCTGTTGCCAAAAATGGGCAAAGATGTCTGTTGCCATGCCGAAAGGTGGATAGCAGATAACTATGAAGAGAGGAGACAAGAAAAGGCTCTGATTTAATGTTTTGATTCTTACTTTGATGCAGTGATATGTGATGCTGGCTGTGTATATGTGATGTTCCCACTGAATCAAAACCATTTGTACAATGATTGAGTCAAAGTTTTAAAATGTAGGAACCTTTTTTTTTCGGCCCGCCTTGTTTTTTTTCGCCCGCTTGCATAAGATTTGGACTCTGCGGAGGATGTCATCCTTAAAATTGACTTGCTGTGGCCTTAGTTTAATAATGACAATAATAAAACACCGTCATAGTCGCCGTAGGAAACATACGAATTGGAGCCTCTGGTGATTATGTTTTCAATAGAAACGGAAATTGTAAACGCAGCAGTACTAGGAACTCGTGAGAAGTTTTCATTATGAAACGCCTGGTCGACAGTAGCCTCCTTCGCAGACTTCTGAGGTGGACGATATTTTTTTTTCGGTGAGCGACGCGAGTTATGCCGCGGAGGGACGGTTTTGCCGCCGAGGGAGTTTGCCGGGAGAGACGGTAGGAGAAACTGCCTCTTCCCGGCAAAGTTGACCGTTCCTCCGCGGCATAACTCGCATCGAAAAAAAATGAACCCCGTCACCTCAGAAGTCTGGCACCGAGGCTATAGGTCGACAGGATGTTGCCTAACTCGCTGACGGCGTTGCACACCCACGTATGGTCCTACCTGCTGTGGCGTTGTTATGACAACCGTGGCGTTGCCATGACGACAATCAACACGCCTCACGTAGCCCCACCATAATTGCACGTAGGCCAATTATGCTCATTTAAATCCAAATGCTAGGCAGTGCCGTAAACTTTACATAAGCCTCGGAGGTTATTTCTTCCTATCACGACGCAGTGTTGGTTGAATAGAGTGTCGGTGATCTATTTTATTCTCCATCTATAGCTGTAGAGACCACTTAACACACGGGGAGTCCCGGACGGAGACACCGTAGGCTTCGGGGCTCCGAGCAGGCATCGCCGAAGATTTCACTTCGTTTGAACGGTGGTTCAGAAAAAGCAATGACGGCGTTTCATCCAAGTACCCTGCTGATGGAAGCATCATCTGCGGGTCGGACTAATATTAGTAATGTTTCCGAATCAAACCGAAATGCGAACGGAATAAGCGAAGGGGACTTGGCCGGGAATGACGCTTCCATGGTGACCGCTTCAGTCAGCCTGGCTCTCATCATGCTAGTGTCACTACTGCTGAACATCTTGGTGACAGTCGCTGTCGCTAGAGGGATGCGGAGTCATAAAATGAACAACTCGCTTCTGATGCTGAATTTGACCGTGTCCGGGCTTGCTCTGACCATCCTAGGGATGCCGCTGTCCCTGGTGTCCGTGTTCGACAGAGGGCTATTGCTGAGTGGACTGGACAGTCTTTGCAACGTGAGTTCATTTTGCCTAAACATTATATGTTCTGCTTTTAGCACCAGAGGTTAGCGACCCTGTCATAAGAGGTTAGGAGTTCAAATCCCGGCTGTTGTCGCTCACCCGACATGCACGCTACTGGAAAGGGTCGCAGTCCTTAGGATGGGACATTAAACCGTGGTCCACTGTTCATTGTGCTTGTCGAAAAAAGCTAGGGGAATTTACCCGGGACAATGAACCTGTAAATACTGTACATAGAGTCTGTCTTCTTTGTCACGACCAGTGGGAGATTAGCTCTTCAGTGAGCTAGTAATACTGGTTCGAGATCATTTTTGGCGACGTCTCAGGGAGGAGCCTAATGGTACAGTATTGTGTGCAGTTTGCAAACATTCTAGGAATGGTACAGGCATTTTGTCCACATGAATGGAATGTCCGCAGGCATGTCTCTGACCCACATCTATGCCCACATTCCTGGAAACCCTTGGGAAGACCTGTCTGCCCCAGATGGCCCTACTTTCTGTGATCCCGGGGCTCGTTCACTATACACTCAGGGGAGGAGTGCACTGTATCTGTCTAGACTTAACAGGTACCAAATCATGAAATGATGGCAGTGCCATGCAAACAATAACCCTAACAGCAACCACCGTTGCCATGGCAATGTATGTTTTCATTGCCAGTCTTGTTATCTTTACGAGCCTTTCAGAGCAGCTTTCCTAATGTTAAATTCTATGTATAAAATTATTCTGCCCCTTTGTGTTTCAGGTGAATGGTTTCGTGTCCGTGTTCCTGGCCATGGCAACCACTCTGTCTCTCACGGCCATCGCAGTAGATCGCTACCTTGCCATCTGTAAAGCGGCCAAGTACAGGATCATCCTCACGCCCTCCCGCACACACACCGTTCTGGTAGCCATCTGGGTCGTCTCTGCCATCGGCGCTCTTCCTCCGGTCTTCGGGTGGGCGGAGTTCGAGTACAACCCGGCTACGTACCACTGTTCCCCCGCTTGGCACTCCCCGCACGGCTCGGGCTACCTCGTCTTTTGCCTGATCGTTGCGATCGTTCTGCCAATTGGTGTCATGCTCGTCTGCTACACGCTTATTTTCGTAACGGTTCGTAGAAGTAGTAGACGGGTCGCATCGATGAATGAACAGAACAACGCACGAAACAGATCTTTGGAAAACGGACTGAAAACGGTTACCGGTACGGAGCGTCCTAGCCTGTATCATAACGAAGTCAGGCTGCGGCTTGGCGGTGAAAATGTGGAGACTGAAAAACAGGACACTGTGTTTTCGATTCGACTCCAGTGGCGACCAAAAAGTGAGCCAAATCGTGAAACCGAAACAAACGACGAGGACATCGGCATCGGCGCTGCTAAGGCACGCTTACTGCATAGGTCGCTATCGTATGACGACAAAGACAATAGGAAATACATGTACATGGTTCAGCAGGCTGAAACTGACCGACTGGCAGTAAGGTATCAAAGAAATGACCGTTATCTTGCCGTTCACGACCCGGCTTTAACAGGTCTCAATGCGAGGAGAGCAAGAGACATACCTACAGTTACTGTGTTGAAGGCTGCGGCAAAAACACAGCGTTCCATGTCTACACAGCTTTCCATGCCTCCACTGCGTTCCATGTCAACACAGCGTTCCATGTCAACACAGCGTTCCATGTCTACAGAGCGTTCCATGTCTACACAGCTTTCCATGCCTCCACTGCGTTCCGTGTCTACACAGCTTTCACTGCTGCGTTCCATGCATCCAGTGCGTTCCATGCCAACACAGGTTCCCATGGCAACACAGCGTTCCATGCCAACACAGGTTCCCATGGCAACACAGCGTTCCATGCCAACACAGCGTTCCATGGCAACACAGGTTTCCATGCCAACACAGCGTCCTATGCCAACACAGGTTCCCATGGCAACACAGAGTTCCATGGCAACACACGTTTCCATGGCAACACAGTGTTCCATGTCAACGAATGTTTCCATGGCAACACAGCGTTCTATGTCAACACATGTTTCCACGCCAAAACAGGTTTCCAGACCAACACAGCGTTCCACGTCAACACAGCGTTTCACGTCTACACAACGGTCCATGTCTGCACAACGGTCCATGTCTACGGACACATACTCAGGACTCACAGACGGTCACTGTTCGCATGAGAACAATGCGCGCATCAATGAAAGGGATGGCATCGCTGGTGCTGCCACCACCCCCGGCCGCCTGTCGCCATCTCCGTCCTTACTGGAGAGACATTTTGAAGAGAGAAGAAGCGTGGACATCCCGAAAGCGTTCCGAGTCAGCCAGGGGAGGAGGGTTCGCGATCAGCAGAGAAAACAGAGGAAAATCGCCATCACCGGTATGTAATGTTACGTTTAAAATCTGAACAGAACATAAAATTACACGAACTCAGAGATTCTAGACCTTCGGGAACCATTTTGGGGTTTCAATTTGTGAAATGGGATCGTATTTAATTTCTATCCGGTATCTATCCACTTCCTGAATTCCCCCATGTTCTACCCATGTACCTCCACTCTTCAATGTGATGGGCCACCTTTAGGCTTAAACTCATTGCCAATCAAGTAACTAATAAACAACCCAGTCTCACTGCAACCGCCTCTGTCTGACAAACATACACACAAACCCACCTAAAACAATTCCAGCCGGCTATCTCTTTGAGACACACATTTAGCGCCGATTGCTGTTCACCTTTCTTTCCGCTTGTTCAATTGATTTCAATATATTAGATCCTATAGATAAATGCAACTACATTCTAAGGGGACATAACCAATACAGTGTTCAAATAGGAAAATACATTAAAGAATGTTTTGATCTTAGAGAACACATGTTAGAGAATAGTTAACCTTTATTGTTACATCATACATATACTCTGTACGTAAGATGACGTTATCCGCACATGTATTTAGCTTTGTTAGATCTTTAGTTAAGTTGTAGAAGACCATACAAAAGTCTCTGTACTTTTTTGTTGTGTCAATAAAGAATCTTCATATTTAAAGATTTTTGATAGGCTTTGGGAAAAATTACTTATCTTGGTCGCAAGCGCTACTTATTAACCACATATTGCAAAAACCACCCCAGGCGAGCGTAATTGATAGCCGTAAGGTAGTGCAGCACTACATAGAATATGTGGGGTTGTTTTTGCATAGAAACAGTCGGCGGTGATGCTTCGTGAATGGCCAATTAAATAGAGGAGTCAGGGCGCCAATTATGGCGATTTTATTACCTGCACTGACGCACGTCTCCGCTTTCTAGTAATTCTATCGAATATTTTTTAAGGATTTTGATTCACACTACGAATCTAATGATAGTATTTGACCAAGAGTATAAAATTGCCTTAGTATGCATATGTATACGTGTAAATACATGTATGCCCCACATACGAAAATAGGACTTAAATGTATTTGTTATATAATGCGCCAGAATATAATAATTTCTTAAAACACATTCCTTAAAATTCAACTTATTATATTAAGAAATACTGGCATAGGTACAACAGATAGCCATTTACATATAACGTCATAACCTTATATTTTTTCATAGGTGTGATGCTGGTATTGGCGTACATCACATGTTGGGGACCCTACACCATTCTTAACGTACAGGCCAGCACGGCGCCGCTGTGGGCCTACACCCTGGCCATGTGGCTGGGCTATACCAACTGTGTGGTCTGTCCCGTGGTGTACGCGCTCACCAACAGGCACGTCATGCAGGAGATCAGGGCACTGTGCGCGCCGCGGCAACATGCGGGGAGATAGGCGCCGCCTAGCGAGTTCGGCATGAAGAACAATGCACCTCGTTCATGCAACTGACACAGGTATATACTGCGACCCGAAAAAAATACACGCGTGCGAACTCAGCACAGCCTGAGGAACGGCACGCATGCAAACTTTGGCAGCTTGAGTATTAGCACGCGTGTAAACCAACGTGAAATGAGTAAGCTCACGTCGTGCACACCCTCATTTGGGGTACCCAAAATATAGCTCACTTACACCAAGAACGCCACCTAACGACTGCGATGAACAACAGCACAAATCGTTCATACAACTTGGTTACACAGAATCTGTATGTGTTGCAAGAGGAAACTTGTTGTGAAAAGAGTGAACTGTGTTTTTTAAGATGATCTGTCTTACAACTGTGACAATATATTTGACGAGACTTACGTGAACCTTTTTTGGCGACGCCTGAGGGGTGGAGCCTGCTTGATAGTTTCTCCTTCAGTCTAGTCACCCTAAAATGTATTAGTGATTTTTGGAAAAAAGATGGTGTGAAAAAACTGAAATGTACATTATCAGGACCATAACCGTATGAGATCAATATCTATTTAACTACAACGGTTTCTTATTAATAAGGCCATGTTGATTTGATAATATGGATGACATCCTCTGGGAACCTCAAAACTGACATGAGCGTGTGAATAAAAAAAAATTTGGCAAAAAAAAGTTTCCTTCATTATGAAATCTATGTGGACATGAAGGTTGAACAAATGACTAAACACACAGAATATAGTACAATTTACAGTATGGTCGAAAACTTTTTTTTTCAAACAGACAAAAATACATGCATGCGCGGATGTCATCCATATAATTGAATCAACATGGCCTAACTCTCTTGAAATTAAATTTGACTCGATATCTATTTTAACCGCTATAAATTGTACTTACATGTAATATTAACGAAAAGACATTTGTTCAGTATTTTGATTTGTTTATTGGTTCTGAGGGTCCTTGACAACATACCATTGTAGTGTTCTACAATCCACGATTGATTACACACCAATAAACAAACGTCAATAAACACTTTACAATTAACAAGTGACCACATTAAAATCCTAGAAATCATGCCAGTTTCAGTCCTCACAGAGGAGGGGGCAAGCACTGGAATCACTCATTTCATTTTATATCCTCATGTCCTCTTTACCCGGAACTTTCAATGTACTCTTTGCAATTATTTCAAGTTGTGCAGAGAAAAAATACTACAACTCCTTACTACAGCAGCATACACTATACAGAAGCTATATCTTTTAAAATTTTCTGGAGATGTGAAAAATATCATTTGCTTTTTGTCATAAGCTATGCTATTGAGGAAATAAAGATTTTATTGCTATCTACAAACAGTTTATGATATCTTACAGACCTGTCTCTGACTCAAGCCTATTCTTTCTTGTACTAAAGGCACTTCCTAAAAACTATATGTAAGCATTATTTTGACTGGTAGCATTGAAGTGAAAAGATTGTAACAATTATCAAAGGTTCCCATGTAGTTTATAGCTATTTGAGAAAGATGAAATTTTGCTACTTTGCTGAAAATCAGAAAAATAGTATTTGCCTGTTTATGTCATGTAAAAGTGCACTGAAAAATACATGCAAAGTGCAAAACAAAGAACCTAAAAATGTATGCTTTTTGATCACTTTATGCAGGACTTATAACACTAATAGCCCACAACTTGTCTTAAACATTTTTCAGTCCCTCTTTTTTGCCTTACCACTTCTTAAACAACACAAGCAACCTTCCAACAGCAAGAAAATTTACAATAATTTCTTTTAAATATTAACATACCCGATTTGACTTTTACAGTTGCTTAGGAAATGTAAGGAGGTATTGTGTGGATTGGTCTATTTATAATATTTCTTGATGAACAGTTGATGTGTACATTGGACAGCTTCACGGAATACACGGAATTCCGCGGAATACAACAGAAGGTTCACGGAATACAACAGAAAAGCATGCTGATTATTAATTACATGTATGTATCAGCTTCTATGAATAGTGTATATTCATATTGGCAGTTGTGATATTTAGTTTACAATACTCTGATTGCTCTTGATAATATATACACCTACAGATTTTAGCAGCAGCTTATAAGAACTAAACAAGTCCACAACAAACAACTACTTGATCTTATGACGATTCTGTGTACAGTTACTTTACATATTTACTCTTTAATATTTACGATGATCCATCGATTGGAAATTAAATAACACATATTAAAAGCCAAGCCATCAAAAACAATGGCCTGACATTAACCTTATACATGCTAACTCCTCTTGTATCTTTGTCAACATGCTTTATTGACATGTACTAAGCAGAGAGAGGTTAAAGCCAAAAGAAGGACCTTGCATACGTTGCAGACAGTGAATACTACAACTAGTACTCTCTGTACTAGTTACATTTGTACCTACTTCAAGTTTTAAATGAAACTTTATCAAACTTTTGGAGAGAAAATATTTCATTTCAGTGCTACATAACTTTGAAGGTGTCTACATTAAACAATTTTTGTTAAACTTTTCTTAAGGAGTGGGTTAGCAAGCAACTTGCAAGCAGAGATGTTCTTAAGTTTTTAGAAGTCTTCTATCCCCCTTAAGAAGATTATAGAATCAGCCCTACGAGAAGTAATTTTCCCATAATCTAGCCAGATTTTAATAGATTAGCACCATTTATTTGTGGTAATAACCATGTTATACTTTTATTATCTTTTCATCAAAATACGATATGTTAAGAGTGCAGAGGGCAGAATAAGAATTATACATCTTTTAAGAAAAAAAAAAAGAGCAGTATTTTTTGAATGGCATCACCATTGGTTATAGGAGTTGAAAAATTACAAAGTAAAAATCGACCCTATCTCAAATGCAACAATCTAATATAGATATAAAATATGCTTTCAATTGATTTTAATGAATGTAGCTTTCAGGTAAAGGTTTTTGTTCTTTGTGAACTCCTAAAGTTATTTTGTTCTAAAAATATAGGACCTAAAATCTCTTTGTTGAGATTTTTCTGTTTTAGTCTAATTGTAACAACTTTCCTTGGATTTGTATTTTTCAAGCAGATATTTGATTGCTGAAATCTGTACAAGCCTTCATATAACGTATCACAGAAAACATTGCAGCATGAATTTAGTCATATTTTGGAATCGTCTGTCAAGAAAAAAAATGACCAATTTCCCTAACCTAAAGTGTGAGTGAAAAAAGAAATAAAATCAACATAAATTAAAAAAAAAAATCATTCAACTAAAGGGCAACTCATGAAAATAAAAATTTATTTTCATCTCATTTTTAGTCTGTGATGTGCAGTGATTTGAAAAAAATAATAAAACAGGACATTTTCCGACATGTAATACACTCTATACTTGCTAAAACTAAGTCCATAGAGTACACACATAGAGAGAAGACTTAGTACAATCAACAAACCCTACAGGAGTATAGCAGACAGAGTTGGCACATTTCAGTGATAGCTAGCAGAGAAAACCTATGACGATTACTAAAGGTGACTTTGGAGTTTGTCAAAGGTTTGCACAAGGTAGCATAGTAGTTGTAGCGGACGCTTTTTTTTCGCTACACTGTTGTCTCCACATCGGGACTATCGGAAGGGGAGGGGGCTTGCACTTTGATCAACGGGGATTTCCCTTCTTCCACGTCTTTTGGTCGTTGTTGTTTCTTGGCGTCGTTGTCTTGCCAGGGAGGGGGGATGTTTATGGTGATACCCCCCTCTTCGATCAGGGGGGACAGCTCGCCGTTCTTGGTGGTCGGCTTTCTGTCGGCGTGTGCGTTGGGCCCGTCCTTCAGCGTCAAGTCACCAGGACGAGACTTCTTTGAGCGACGCGATCTAAAGACACAAATAAAAAAAGGAGTTGTCAGTGTAAAATACGCATACTTCTTCAATGTATTCATATTCTAATTACCTTCGTCAAGAAGGTTATGTGTTGGGTACACTATAAATATGGGCTGGCGATTTTTAGAACGGTTATAACATGGGGGTGCGGTGCGTGTATCTTCATGATATTTAGTAGGTAGGTTTGGGTTGAGATAATAAAGGTCAAGTTCAATTATGGGTAATCTAGCAGCTTTGCACAGATTTTTAAGAACGGTTATAACTTTTGGTGTGGCGCGTGTATCTTCATGATATTTAGTAGGTAGGTTGGGGTTGGGATAATAAAGGTGAAGATCAATCATGGGTATTCTAGCGGCTTTGCACAGAACTGCAGCGAAGGTAAGCTACAACAATACATTGCATAACACACGACAAACAAATTACTGTAAAAATTACAGTAACTGTACTTTCATGACCTCAATAAAAATGCTTAAACAAGCAAAAAAACTTTCATGACCTCAATAAGAATGCTTAAAACAAACAAAAAAACAGTGTCTATACAGTACTTTTTCCTTTTCTGCGTGTCCCCGGCGAGTGTTTTCCAGATGGCAGTCTTGGCCACCTCTTCTGATATGTTAAGAGTTTTGCTCTTGGGGTTGTACTGGATGGCCTCCACTGGGATGGTGATGTTCCCCCCTATCTCATCCTTGGTCTGGTCCATCACCTCAAGGAAGTCTGCTCCCTCCTGTTAAAATGAGAAATATCAAATACTGTAAGTTTTAGGGGTTTCAATTTTGCAGTAAGGGAAACTAGAAGGTATTTGTGAGTGTAAAATGTGGGGTCGTGTGGCGCAACGGCAGCGTGCGCGACTCGGAATCAAGAGGTCCCGGGTTCGAGTCCTGACATGCCACCGATCTTGTGCCCTTGGGAAAGGCACTTTACACGACTTTCCCCACTAGACTCAAGTGAAAATGAGTATTGTCTGTCCAGTATTCGTTTCTATGTGCGGGACACAACACCAGCAACAGCTGCCTCTGTTCCGCGTGTATTGCACTGTTGCAATTTCAATAAATCAAATCAATTTGTGGTGTTTACAGTAAACAGTCTAACTTAATTGCCTAAGTTGACCACTCAAGGGACTGAGAAAGAGTGTTTTTCCTATACAAAAAGCATGCAGACAAGATAGAACAGACAACAAGAAAACCATAGCGAAGTTACCAACCATTTTGCAATAAACTGCTCCATTATTTCTCTCAGCGTCCCATTTTACCTTGCACAAAGACTGTCTTGCTCTTGAAATCAATGGCAAACTGGCCAATTTCATCAAGATTTCTTGCTAGTTATCATTTTCTATTACACGCTTGAAAATGGCATAGTTGTCAGAGGTAGAGATTGGTCCATGCGCAACCCAAAATAGTGGCGGTCACAGTGGACATTGTGGTCCCTTAATACCACAAAAAAGTGGCCGCTATGGCCAGCTTATGGAGATGTTACTTGGGCAAGCTTGACTGTACATTGAAAGCACTTACTTATCTTATAAGCTAGATACAAGACAAGTTTTTCTTACCAGAGTTCTGGACCTTTCTCTGAACTCCTCTTCTGCCATTTCCTTGTCTGCCTTCTTTCTCTTGATCATTTCGGGCATCTTGTCGTCCAAATACTCCAGATCGGCCTGGACGAAGAGGTAGTCCATCAGCTTTCTCACAAACACCAGGGCCAGCACCTGTAAGAAAAACACCAACAGCAACATTGTAACTTAGGCCACGCCAATTTAATTTGTTGTTTCTCGGATTCGCCCTGTCCATTTTTTTCTGATTTGCAAAAAAAAAAAATTTGTTGGTTCTAAATCAACTGCAAAATGCTCCAACGGTTGAAGAAAATCCTTTTCTTCCTAGTTGTTAAAGTTTTTCAAAGTGATAATGCAATAATTTTGTTTCATTAAAAGTTCAAAATCTATTGTTTTGATTATAAACCAGCCTGGTATATTCACTTCATGGCTCATATTGTAACATTTTTGGCTGTCGATGAATCATAATGATATTTGCTATGTTTCAATGTCAAAGGTGCTGAAATGCCATCCTCCAGTGCTAAACACTGTTGAAAAGTATATCATCCCTGTAATACAAAATCATCAAAACCTCACAACAAATACTTGCTGTTTACATGAAGGTCAATCACCCTTATACATGTACATAGAGAAAACATTGAGGATGAATTTGGTAGACTAGTGCTTATTGGATAGAGTATATGGAATCAGTAGCCCACATTAGTAATCAATAGTAGCAAAGCTTACTAATAGGTAAGGAAACAACAGGCTTCAATGACAGAGGTATGCATACAAATGCAAATAACTGCATGCAAACTTTTACCACACAGAGATTTTTCATCAGAGCTTTATATGACTCTTCACCATTATGGGAAAGACCATTGTAAACCATAGCCTGATATAACAGGAGAAGAAACATGATTGAAAACAATATATTTCAACCATACCATGATATGGAGTGAAATATAAAAAAAATGATGCTTTACCATGATGGGAAAGACGAGGGAGGCGTCTGTAGACTTGATGACCCAGAGGATGACCAGGCACATGAGCTGGATGAAGGTGAAGAGGTGGACTCTCTTCAGGGGAACATGGCGCAGGTACACGTAGTCAGGCTGGTGCTTCGGCGGCATCAGAACCAGCAACAGCCGGTCCCAGAACTACAGGGATACAACAGTAGGATTAGTGCTGTATGCCTGTTTTCTAATGCTAGTTCCAGACTTGTAAGAATATTTAAGGCCACACCAAGTAAATTTTATGGATGACGTCCGCGAGCGCATTGATTTTGGCCTGTTCCTAGACAAAAAAAAAAGAAATTCCGCTTCCTGTAACTATGACCAAAGAGTCACGACAGTGCCACCAATCGTCAGATTGACGTGAACCCCGTAACGCGAAATGGGTAAAGAGCACATGCTTTGTTTCTGCAGGCCTGCAAAAATGTGATGAAAGAAACAGGACAGGACGACAATTGCTGTTCCACCTGATTTATTGCTGGTTTGATGATGAATAAAAGACTTATTGCTTGTTACAATGTGTCACCTCATTCAATTTGTGTCCTAACATTTGTCGTCTCTTAGTATATTTCTAATCTAGGCATCTCGTTTTTTTGGGCCCTTCTTGTTTTTTTTTCGCCCTCTCGCATCCATAAAATTTACTTGGTGTGACGTAAGTTCAAGTCACAAAAAAAAAAGCCACATTCCCCTTTTTGTTCTAAACCACCTGAATGAAATCTTCAATAGTAAAAAAACTTGCGCTGCCACATGAAGAAAACATTGCCACTGGGCATCGTCAAGTGTCTGCCTCCATAGATTATGTGGCCACAGTTTTGCCCAGACGTGACCGCAAACAACATATCTTGCTTCTAAACGCTGTAGGGGCATCAGCAGCTTTAAACAATTCTTATAGTTACTGTAACTGTTATATAATTTACAAAGGTTAGGTGTCAATCTTAAGCACAAAGACCTGCTCACGAAGTAACCATGCAGCTTCATATTAGACTATTATGTAGTCAAAGTACATGGTCTCATTCCACAAATAAGTATGACTGAAAATGCACAAGAAACTAAAAGTTAACCCTACGGATAATTTGGCAGCACAAAGCCTTGTTTGAGGCAAGACACGTACCTGTATACCAGCCAGGGAAGAGAAACCCATGTAGAGGAAGACTCCATACAGCACTGGCATAGGAACAAGCTAAGACAAACAAACAAACAAACAGTCAACAATGTACAATACTCAAATACTGCTGCATATGCAGACTTTTTTGTTGGAATCAAATCATTTCTTGTAGTGTCTTGATTGATCCTGTCAGTGTTTATGTATGTGTTTCACTAGTTTATAGATTGTTTGTAGTTTATAGATTGATTGTATGAAACTCGTGCTTTGCTTGCTTGTACTACAATGTATGTTTTGTCTGGTGGCGACATGAATATAAGTGTAACTTGAGTGTGTCGCCACCATGTCTTGTCATTGTAAGTTTCAATAAAAAAAAAGTCATCATAATGTATATATTAGTATACTTTAATGGAAAGTGGTTCAAGATTCAATTAATCTTTGGCACAGAAGAATTAAAACAGCCCAGACCTACCCTCAAAATGGAGGTGAAGAGAACAGACAGCCCAATCAACAGGAACACAACCAGACCTGTCACACGGTTTTCCCTGGAAAGGTACACATTGCAGATACATTACATATGATAATACAACACATATACAAGCAGCACCTCAATAAATAAAATGTACTCAACTGGATGGTACATGCTATAGAGGAACAACTTTCTTTAAAGCTATGGTTCTTGTACAGTGTATGTAACCAAAAGGGTTCGAATCCCGACAGATGGCTGGTACATGCTATGAAGAAACTAAACTTGTATATAACCAAAAGACAAGGGTTCGAATCCCAACAGATGACTGGTACATGCTATAGAGAAACTTAATTTGTGTGTAACCAAAAGACAAGGGTTTGAATCCCAACAGATATCTGGTACACGATATGGAGAAACTAAACTTGTGTGTAACCAAAAGACAAGGGTTCGAATCCCAACAGATGTCTGGTACACGCTATCTCTTTAATAACTTTATTGTCTGGACTTTTCAGGTTTCTTTAGATTAAAGCTAGCTAAGGGTTTCTTCCTACTATAATTATTGAACAGTGGTTTGTATTGTTTGTCTGCTTGCATGTAACCAAAGGACATGGGCTCTAATCCCAACAGACGATTAGTACCTTCTGGATTCTCTCATCCAACAACAATCTCTCTATTGATATTATCAGCTAAGATTTCTTCTTACAATTGAACAGTGGTTTGTTTTGCTTGTCTGCTTGCATGTAACCAAAGGACATGGGTTCAAATCCCAACAGATGATTTAGTACCTGACTCCGAGGAATTTGGGTTTCTCTCCGGAAGCAAATGTAGCCAAAGGACATGGGTTCAAATCCCAATAGATGATTAGTACCTGACTCCGAGGAATTTGGGTTTCTCTCCGGAAGCAAATGTAGCCAAAGGACATGGGTTCAAATCCCAATAGATGATTAGTACCTGACTCCGAGGAATTTGGGTTTCTCTCCGGAAGCAAATGTAACCAAAGGACATGGGTTCAAATCCCAACAATTGATTAGTACCTGACTCCGAGGAATTTGGGTTTCTCTCCGGGAGCGCTGCAGTCAGACTCCATCTTGAGACTGTTGACGTGGTTGAGAGACAGGACTGTAGCAGCGACAAACCACGGCAGACCCAGCAGAGAGGTTATACCGATCAGGATAGCCACGATAAACAGGTCCAGATGGTACCCTGCTCCTTTCTGGGGGAAGAAAAATGCAAGGAAAACGTTGATGATTGGTCATTAATTATCCTGATGAAGTCGACAGTGGTCATAAAAAATTTGATCTCCCTTTAAGTTTTGTTCTGGAACATTTTACTGATTACTACCAACACAGATGAACTTATTATGAATTATCATACTAGAGAAGTAACACTTGCAAAGCAAATGCATAATGTTTACCTTTGGATATGGTCTGCTCTGTTAATTCTTACTCAAACACATTCACATACATGTACTACTAGTATATGGTGACAGGAGCAGAGCAGACCATGAAATTGCAACATTATGTAACCCAACACCAGTCACCATGGTGACAGACGTCAACAAATCATGTCATTGGTCAGGTCATAGGTCACAGTTTGGAGAAGAAGAAGAGGAAGAAACAGAGCAAAAACAATATGTTTTCCTACGGTAAACATAATTAATAAGTTGAGAACAGTACCTTAAGCTTGTGTTCCTTCCTGTTGACGATGACAGCTGTGATCTGCTGATCCATGAAGATCAGGATCACGGCTAGGAGAGCCGGGATCACCGCTGCGATCCCCACCCACCAGGGATTGTTCCCAACCGGGTTGATGAACCAGCCACGGTCTGAGCGGGTCGGCTACAAACACACAAAGTACACAATCTTTAATAGAAGTTAGTGTGATTTTAGCGTGCATAGTCCAGTGGTTAGCAACCCAGCCTCTGGACCAAGAAGTTGGGAGTTCGAATCCCAGCTGCTGTTGCTCACCCGACATGCACGCTACTGGAAATGGTCGCTAGTTCGGGAGGTTAAGCTGTGCTCCACTGTTCACTGTGCTTGTCAGAAAGAGCTAGCAGAATTTCCCCAGTACAATGAACCTGTAAATACTGTACATAGCGTCTGTCTTTTCTGTCACGACCAGTGGGAGATTAGCTGTTCAGTGAGCTAAAACTGGATCAAGATCACAGATCGGAATAGAAGAAGAACTTAATTAGACGACAATTGTACATGGCACAATATATGGCACTGACTATTAAACATAGTACAAAAAGAAAAGAATATAAAATGAACTGCTTAACATCCTAGTAACTACATGTACATGTAAAACAACAAATGCTAGACTAGTATAATATACAATGATGCCATGGTAAGAAAAGTCAGAGAGATAGAAAGTATAAATTAGTACTAAAATAAAAACAAATTTGCTAAGAGTATAAATCTTATGGTACTAGATAGCGTGAAAGGATCAGAAATTACACTTGAAATTCACATATCATCAAAATGTTTTCCAAAACATCCATGCCTTTTTGCTAATCCACAGCAAGAGCAAAAGAAAACGTATCAATTACTTAGTGCTAAAACATCAATATATGGAGATATCTGATGTAACTGTGACAGTCACTACAAGATGTCCCTACCTTAAACTCTATTGGTACCAGGAGTTTTGGTGTGTCGACCCCAAATGCTGCATCGATTCCAACAAACGTCAGAACTGAGATGAAGACTGCAAAGTCACAGATCACCCCACGAACCTGAAACAACCAATTTTAACATTCTTAAAACTGCCACATAATTATACATAAAAAATTATGGTGAAAAACTACATGTACATGTACATCTAGGTACAAGTATCCTCTTATTCCCTAGCCAGGGTTCTCACTAGGTTGTTTGAGCCCCCTATGCTGTGATTTAGACCCCTACAATGTCTTTCAACCCGCATAGGGGTGTTTCCTTTTGGGGAAAACCTTCTGACCTTTCAATCTTTTTTGAAGTTCAAATTTCGTCTTAGAACGAAGCTATAAGAGAGGGAAAACATTACTTTACAAAATTTGTCCCTCTATAACCTGAAAATAGTGTCTTACTATTCTTTAATACCTGACCCCAACACTGTGAAACAATTCTGATGAGAACCCTGCTAACTACAGAAAACAAAAGATCAGACACAGGTAGTTAGGTCCAAGAGCCTGGCAGCCAGTCTGTTGGCCGACTCCAGTAGGGAAATGCAAGGAGATGTAGACAGAGAACTTCATAATCACCAATAAAACAAGAAATTCGCAAAAACTCTAGATATTTCATGGCGGTTTGAAATCTCATAATTATTTCTTGTCGTACCATTGTTGGGAAGAACCTTTCCGTCTTCATGGACTTGAGAGTGGAGGCGAGGAAGAAAGTCCCAGCCATGAGAACAACGGACATGAGGAACACGTCTGGTGCATAGTCACAGTTCTCCCCCACCCAGTGGCCATGGTGGACAATCAAACCTTCAAGCAAAATTCATTCAATCATTAATACAAATTCATATTTCTAATTAGAGAGGTAACATTTGCAAAGCAAATGCATAATGTTTGCCTTCGCATATGGTCTGCTCTGTTAATTCTTACTCAAAGTCAAACACACTCATATATGGTGACAGGAGCCTAACTCCCTCCTGCTATAAAATTGCAACATGATGTAACTGAACACCAGTTACCATGGTGACAGACATCTGGTTCAGGCCATTGACCTTATTTTTGTGGAGAAGAAGAGGAAGAAGAAGAGGAGCAACAACACCTCTTTCTCAAAGGACATTTTTGCTCAGTCCCTTGAGTGTTCTCTACCGACAGGTTTGACAGTACCGATGAACTTACAGTCATGCTGGGTCAGATTTTCCCAGGGGATGCCGTCTGAAGCACTCGTTGGGATGACTTCAAAGTCGTTAAACGGCGTCGTGTCTGTGACATTCAGCGGCGAATCCGTGGCCATGCTGTAGTTCCAACTCATAGCGGATGGTGTGGAGAACACGCTGGTCATGTTCGTATCATTGCCCATGACGTAGTTCACAAAGGATGTCGCAGTGTCGTTTTTCTCTTCCGGAGGTAAGCACGTACACTGGGATTCTAACCACCATTTCTTAACCATGTAGTGATCCGTGATGTGGTAGAGCTTCTTGAATGCTAGAAAATAACATTTCGGGAGTCAGAACAATTTAGTCATTTTCATGATCACTGTTAGATACCATACATTGTACACTCAGTCATGTCAGTATTACATATAAAATTGTTCATAAATCATGTATATATTGTAGCTATCCAGAAAAATTAAAAGTACTACATGATGATTATAGTCTAAAATCACAGTTAAAATTTTTCCAGTTATTGCTAAATGGGACAAGTACATGTAGCTCAAGGGCAAAATTTAACTGCTTTACTCATAGAATTTGTGTAGCCTGACAACATGTTACTTCATCCTTTCATGTAAAGAATGCAAAATTTAAATGTATTGTACAGATACATTGTAGTATCCTTCTTCTTCTTATCTATTTTAAAATCATGTTTCCCCTAAACTGGGGGTTAGAAGATTTTTACAGAGATTGTCAAAATAAATCATTTTAAAATACCAACAATCAACTAATTAAACAAAATGTCCTCAATTTTTTTACATACATTTAAGAAAGTTACTGCAATGTGCAATTGTTGTGTATAGACTAAAAGTGGTGCTGTAATTCACTTTATGTTCACGGTAGCAAAAGTTCACAGTCTGAGAAAAATGGACATGTTCACAGAACTATATATTCACAATGGCGACAGGTACAGGAAAAAGGAAGTCCAGGAATTATTTGTTAACTGTAATGATATTCATAGCACAAAAGTGACAGTGAAAACAGTGAACATAAGGCCACACCAATTTAATTTCTTGGTTAACGGATTTTTGTAGAAAAATTATGGAGCGGGTGGGCGAAAAAAAAGATAAAAATAAAAACAGGCCTAGGCATCCTATTATGGTCCATACTGGTACGATAGGAGCCATGAAGTCAACACACCAGGCTGGTTCAAAATTTAAAAATGAATTGTTTTGAACTTTTAATGGTAGCACTGCATTGAAAGATGGAATGACTGTAACAAGTAGTTGATTTGAGCATTTTGCAGTTGATTCTGAATTTTTATTTTTATTTGCAAATCAGAAAAAAATTAAGCGGCGAATCCGTTAACCAAGAAAGTAAATTGGTGTGGCCTAACAGTACAGTGAAAAAATCAGGAATTACAGTTACTGTACCTTCTACGATGAAGATGAAAGCGATGAGAGCAGCGAAACTCTCCTCCACAAATCTGGTGAAGTACTTGACCAGTGCGCTGGCGTCAGTAGCCACCATGACCAGTAGGATAAAACATGTCCACAGCCCCACCCACACTCTGAACGGCAGGTACTCCAACTTATTGCCCCTGGAAGACAAAAATTAATAAAGTATCAGTATCAACTTTGTTTAGAGTTTAAACTCCAACACAAAAAATTCTCTCACCTAGACATTTGGACCAGTCACTCTGGTCTTCCTCAGTAGACTGACCCAGTGAAGCTTGTCACTGGCTTCTTTGAAGTGTGACGTCAACACTGGGTCAAAGGTATCTGGTAGACAATGTCGGCCCCAGTCGCGGTTCAAAGAAGCCACGTGACAAGCCTACCTGGGTCAGTCAACTGAGGAAGACCAGAGTGACTGGTCGAAAGCTCTAGATGAGAGAACTTTTTGTGTTGGATCAAAAGTTTTAACTCTAAACATGTAACTATCAAGTTGAACACAGATGAACTTTCTTGATAGTATAAGTATCAACTGTCACTGACAGATATTTCAAGTAGCACCCACACCTTTTGTCCGTGACTAGCAGAATTGGTAGTTGAAAAGAAATTCATCCAACTACTGTAGATGTAACTAGCAAAGTACAATGTCAGTCATTTGTAACATTTGCAACGCAAAATAGTTAAATTGCATAATGTTTACCTTTGCATATGGTCTGCTCTGTTAAGTGTCAAGTCTTACTCAAACACATTCATATATATGGTCAGACAGGAGTCTAAATCCCTCCTGCTATAAAATTGCAACATGATGTAACCCAACACCAGTTACCATGGTGACAGACCTCTGGTTCAGGTCATTGACCTTATTTTTTTGGAGAAGAAGAGGAAGAAGAAGTGGTTTGGAGAAGAAGAAGAGGAAACAGAGCAAAAACAAAACTTACTTGCAGAAGTCATACATGAGCGTCTCGTAGACTAGGATGGGTCCTGTAGACCCTATGATGGTGAGAGGCTGTCCTGACAGCAGGTGATATGTGGTTCCACAGATAGCTGCTGAGAAAATATTCTCCAGCGCAGCCTAAAACATAGAAAAATAACATTATTTTTCACATTCCATAAAGCCAGACTACTTGCGTACATGCTGTAAGTAATATTCTTAACATGGTATGACAAGAAGTCATTGTACTACTGTGTCACACTAATATTAGAAATATCCCTCAACTAACTCCTATAGGCTGTAGGGTCATACGGAATCAAACCAGTGAGAATCAAACCAGAGACCTCTCGATCCTATGTCTACTAGCTTAACCACTTGAGTATGAATGATTACTAAGTCAACAGAGACGGGGGGCGCCACAGACTTTCTGCAACCTATGATCCACTGCTCACGGAGTCACGTGTATTATCTGCGTGACATCACGGAAGCGGTGGATTGCTCATTTCTTGACAAAGACTGGAGTTGTACAGTCGAAAATTTGGGTGAGTCCAATTTCTTGTGTTGGAAATTGCAGTTTAAACTTGCTTTATAATGATTTCTACTAACACAGATGAACTTTCAAGATAACCTTGCCACCTTTTGTAGTCAAAGTCCTATGAGTATGACTACTAGTACTGTACCTGATAGTTTTCTGTTGCATCTCCTAGAAGCCCACCAAACGTGATGACAGGAGTGATACAGGCGAAGTACAGGAAGAGAACAGAGGACAGGCACTGGAGACTGATGCCGTCCTTAAAGTCACTCAGGTAGTGAGGAGCCTTTCTCTTGATGTCATCGATGAGACCTCCAAACAATCTGTTAAAAACAAACAAGTTCATTCAATGACTGGCTCATAATATCATTGGACTGGTTTATTATAATATCATTGGGCATTATGCAAATTAGCTCCTGATTTGCATAATTGTCATTTGACTACGTCAAGCATCACTTCAGTTATCTACCTACCAGAAATCATGACAATCTGTCAACTGATTCTTGAGTTATTCTCTTTCGGAGATTTTTGAAGAAGCGCTCCTGCAGTTCCAGAACAAGCCGCTAAGGGGCCCAAACTCCTATGCAACTGTTATTCTTCCAACTAGTCTAGAGTTGAATGAGCTGTTAATTGCAACCGCATGGATCTGAAATCACTTCTTAGATGGCAGAGTCTACATGTACTTCAAGCCAAATGTTAACTGAAGTGAAGGCATGTGTGACAGCACAAGATTTTTTATTCGATAGCCACATGCAGTATTATTGCAGATAATTAGTGCAAACACTTTACACGGCTTAATTTAGTATTGTTTTGATCATATAATTTGCACTGCAGGGATAATGTACTTTTCAGCAGTATTTTGTACTAGTGGATGGCATTTCAGCACCATTTACATTAAAATTTCTATAATAAGCTCTATATATAAACTGTAAAATTTCTGTAGCTTATATAGCTCTGTAAACATGTGCTATCTGCCATGTCAGAAAATCATTATTACTGTAATTCCTGATTTTTGACTGTACTGTAACAGTTATGTTCACTTTTTTCCCTGTTACTTCTGTACCGTGCACTTATCATTACAGTTAACGAATAATTTCTGGACTTTCTTTTTCCTGCACCTGTCGCTACCTTGAATATATAGTTTTGTGAACATGTCCATTTTTCTCAGACCGTGAACTTTTGCTACCGTGAACATAAAAGTGAATTACAGTATCCGATATGTCAAGAACAAGAGATATCAAAACTGGATGTTCTTCTTTGAAACAGGAATTTGAAGTTAAAGTACCTTCCGGTTCTCTTGAGTTCCTCCTTACTGTCATACTCCTCTTCCTTCTCCCCGTCCCCGTTGTCCTGACCGTGTCCTTTTCTCCCCTCCTGGGACGGAATGTTGGACGGGGGCTCGATACGGATGTTAGGGTCCCACTCCCCGGGTGGAAGCACTGTTACCTACAAACAAAAAAGAAGTAGATTAAGGTAACATTTGCAGAGCAAATGCATAATGTTTACCTTCGCATATGGTCTGCTTTGTTCATTCTTACTCAAACACATTCACATATTATATGGCAACAGCAGTCTAAATCCCTCCTACTATAAAATTGCAACATGATGTAACCCAACACCAGTTACCATAGTGAGAGACAGTCTGATTCAGGTCATTGACCAGGTCAGAGGTCAGTGTTTGGAATGGAAGAAGAAGAAACAGAGCAAAAACAATATGTTTTCCTTTGGTAAACATAACAACAAAACACAACAACTTTATCCCAAAATTCAGTATAGTCCTGTCTACAAAATTCATTGGATTTCTCTAAGAATTTGTCTAATTAGTAAGATTTGTCTATTTTTTATGTTGCTCACCTGGTCTAGAAATTCATCAATGCCAGCCAGCAAGTCTTGTCGGTTCTTAGCCCTGTACGCAACATTGTGGAACACCTGGAAAAACACCACAGTCCAAATTCAATATAACTATAGAAATACTGCTCTATGTGTTTGTGTGTGTGCTCTATCAATTCTCACTTCAACACATTCATATGATGACCAACCCCTCCAACTCTGTCCTGCAACTTGCTACATAATATAAATCTAACACTAGTGGAGATACTGATCAGAGTCCATGTTGACAGAGATCACAATTAGGACAATATTAAATTAATGTACATGTATTAGCCTGGTTTTCCACATAATGTACATGTCATGTAGTTTACAATTATTATAAATTTCAATCCAAGTGCGGATCTCTACCGGTAGAATCTGTGATCCCTACCCTGACATAATTCATATGAATGGTGACCAGCCCCTCCAACTCTGTCCTGCAACTTGCTACATAATATACATGTAATCAAAATGGTGACCAGCCCCTCCAACTCTGTCCTGCAACTTGTTACATAATATAATCTAACAGTAGATACAAATGTGTAACATGTTTTCTGTAAGCTCAGTAAAAGTGTACCTCGTCTGACATGAGCGTCGCGATGGCTCGTCCGACTTCGTGATACTGCTTCTGGTTACCCTGTGGCCCCAACATGAAGAACAGGAACCGCGTCGGGATGGGGACCTCCGTGATGTCACCCAATAGCAGGCTGTGAGACAGCCGCACGAAGGCTATGATTGGACGCTTCAGGAAGTCCACTTCTCCCACCAGAACGTTGGACGCCTCCGAGCCTTCGGGAATTTTTCTCATGAAATGTTTACTCTGGAAATAAACAAGATGGGTGTTTAAAAAAATCAGTCAATGGCGACATGCTTCAGACTTGTCCAGCAGAGAGTTGGATCTATTAGGCAAAGTAAGAATTCCAATGAAACCAATCCACCATGGGCATTCAAAGAAAGCAACTCCTTTCGTAACATCCTCTGCAATCTCCACTAAGACTATAGACAGAGGTCTTGTCATCATACTTATAGTGTACATTTTGTTATTTTTTGGCGACACCTCAGGAGCGGAGCCTGCATCATATCTTGTGATGATAACAGCAGGTAATGTTTGTTAGGATTGTATATGGGTACCCTTCCTTCAGAACTTTCAGAATATTTCTCATGTAAAATATTCCAGTTGAAAACTGTTAACAGTGAGGCCATTTGTTTTTTGCTTAAAAGTAATCTGCTAGTAATAGTCAGATGTATTCTGTGGACTGTGTAAAAACAATCATTGGACAAAGTGTATTTTTGAGTGACACTCATCAACTGTATGGGCCATATCCTTGACACCGCATTTGGGCTATAAAAAAAGGATGGAAACATCACTTAAAGCAACAAAATTTCACCTGTGCCTGCTTTCAGTAGAAACTGTCAGGCTCTTAGCCAAAAAACAAATCATACAAAAGTCACTAAACTACAGCTAACTGAAAATTAACCATGTAAAAAAACTGACATATCTATAAGCACTAAAATAAGCTTGATGGCACCTAGTACCTTTCGATTTCATATAGAATACATAAGGTGCACTTCTATGCCTAGTTTTCTATTTGTGACCTAAAAGACTAAAATCTAGAAGACACACAAACAAAGCACTCCAAAAGATGCTAAAGAACTAGAAAATTTACATGACATCAGAAACAAGATGCAGCATGTCACTTGAATGAGAGATTCTACATTTTGTGCTAAGGAGAACACAGCAGATCACAGCAAACCACTTCAAGAAATGCGGATGTCGGTTGAAGATTCGAAGACTCTATAGATGCTACAGGAAAGGTACATGTATATGCATGTATGACAGTGAATGATAGGTTGTAGAAAGAGACTTGCTACAAGGCAAACTGCACACAAGACAAGCCCATACCGGCACCGATCCCCTGCGAATTGGGTCCTTGATTAAAAGAAAAGAGATACAAGAAATCAATGAAAAACCGAAACCAAAACATCTGCAAACAAATGCTCTTAATACCCAGCTAGGATTCCATCCCTTAATGAAGGCTTGTAAATAAGCAAAAGTTGCAAGTTTAAAAAAATATAAATTCAAAGCACACCTAATAAAACATAAAATATACTAAACCCCTACCATTAACGATCCCCTTCTGGGTACATGTAGGTGATCCTTTACAAAAAAAATTATTAAAATGTTAATAATTATGTCATGCAAATTATATGCTAAGGTCAGATCTAGACTATGTCATGATTGTATGATCATACCGGTAGTACAAAAAAACACAATCTAATATTTAAAATAGGGGACTCCAAAAAAATTGCAACACAAGGCAAACTGTAAACTAGCAGCAACCACAACGTTCGTACCAGTAGGGACATCCTGCGATGGTGATTTTCCTTTGTGTGAAAAATGTTAAACATGTTGGTGAGCATGCGGCATGCAAGAAGGAATGGTTTTGGTAGTAACACACTTCGACATGTGGAAATTTAGTAGTCTGAGAATTGAACTACTGATAGAGAAAGTACTGAATGTGTGTATGAGATTGTGTTCAACTTTGTACAGTGTGTGTGTGCATGAACAAGGGATAACATTGGAACCATGTAGTAAGTATTTTGTCAGCAGTCTGCACGGTAGCACACAAGGCATTTTGCAATTCAGCTAAACTCTGCCAGGTGGCGCTTTTCCATCAGCCTGGGCCTGTGTTGTCAGATATTCCATGTGCTGACCCACTCAGAGAGATGGCTTGTTCATGAAAGTTCTGATGGCGAATGACTGATGATTGGTACACTTTTAGTCTCTCTATTCATGACCTACACTGTATGAACTCATAATTCATATAATATACAAACTTGAAAACCTTTAGAAGGTAATACTGCATATACGGTACATTAATTTTGTAACTGACAATTTGTGTTTGAGTAAAGCTGGAAAAGTGGGCAGAGGCTTAAGTTTGAAAAAGCAGAAAAAAAGTGTATTTTCAAACACACTAGTACCATAATCTTTGTACAATAACACTACCTTTGTACATGATACTAATACCACACTGCAACAAAAACCTACAAAATTGAAGATCTTAAGTCACACTGGAAAAGATGGCACTGTTAAGACAGTAACAGTATAACTGCAAATATCTGAAAGCTCCACACAATTTTTCAAACGTCTAACATACAAACACCACCCTGGGTAAGTTCAAAATTCTGTTAAGTTAGGGGAAAAAAAGAGTCAGACACTCAGTATCCTACCACTTTTTTGGGCTTAGGTTCGGGAGGGGATTCCGGGTCATGCTCCTTTTGAGAAAAAATATCATCACAAAAGTTAAGACCTAGAAGAAGCCCTTTTTAAAAGAAATTTTGAACTGTAAAAACTCTGTTTCTAAGGTGTTATTATATCATATATATCACACCATAACAGTGTTGGTTTTTGAGAATGGAATGCTAATAATATTATTAAGTCTACTACGACTACATTGTAACTACAAAATTTCTGGACCAGTAGATTTCAAATAAAAATGTAGGAAAAGGCACTTCTTAGGCTACACTGTAACTTTTAGCAAAGACAAAACGCACTGCAAAAAGTACCAAAAAATTACACCACATTTCAAAAGTAAGACTATTTTTGTTTGTTTTTCACACATAACCATACCGGGATAGTTTGAAAAGAAGGTCTTCTTTGTGTTTGTGTAGAACGCATTAACCGATGTAGATGTTCCTTGAAAAAATATTGTGTCATTAAATGTTAACATCTCTGGGAAATATATCTCATATTTAAATTAATTTCAAATGACAAGCCACAAATTCATCTGACAAATTTCAGGCAAAGATAAAGACTTAGAGAAGAAAAATTAGGGCAGATCAATAAAAAAATCACGGCATGTTAGTTTTTCAAGCACCATACCCTGAATCCTTTGTTTGCACAATGATCATCCTTTAAAAAAATACAACATAGTACATGCGTTAGGAAACTACATTGGCAGAAAATTTCTAAAATCTTCATGGTTCAAATTAGCACACTGAAGTAACTGTTTGGCTACCGATTATCTATTGGTTACAGGGTTAGGCAGCAGGGAGAAGGATGAATGGTTGAACTAGTAAAACTAGGAAATCTTTATGTACTAAAAAGCTAAGAATCAGTCATTTACAATGTACAAACAATCGAAAGAAACAAATGGCACACTCCAAAAAAAAATTTAAAAAATATCTCAAACCCAAATTTCAAACTATATGAAAACGGCTATTACCAGTAAACCTTTCCCTACAGAAAGATCTATTTAGTCTAAGGGTTATTTTGGATAATAATTATTAGAAAATCCAAAACATATCACACTAAAGAAACTGTTATTACCACTCAATGTACTTCCGTCTAAGGCACACACGCTGCACAGCAAAAAGTATATCACTGTAGATGCTAGTATCATGAAAAGAAATAAAAAAAAACAGAAAAGAAAAAATAATGCACAAAACACATTTTTCAAACCAACTTTACCATTAAAGACCTCCTACGGGGAAATCGGTCCTTTATGGGGGAAAAATGACAAATATTTTTATGCAAAAAATGATGGCTGTAGTTTTACATGTATTTAACTTATTTAGTAGTTAGGCTCATCAACTGCCTTATAAGAAAAGAAGCTACAAATGTACTTAATACTTAAACTAACTAACATGTACTTCGAGACCTAAATTATATCATGATGCTAAAAGTTCAAACTCTACGAAAGTATACCTGGGAGTAATTCTATAATGCATATTAGCTACTACAATCATACATGATGATGATATGATATGATATGAAATGATTGTCTGATGTCCTGAACATGTTTGTCCCAATATAAATAGAATAAATGTTCAAGGGTTCATGGGCCCGTAATGTTTAGGAAAAAAATCTTAAAATTTGACAGAACAGTTGGTATATATCAAAGACAGCAAAGAATAAGAGTCTGTTTTGTGTATTAGTTGTGTAAAGGAGTAAAACAAAGACACATTTCCGACAGCAGAAATGTTTGTTTTTTATGGCTTCACCACACCACGAAGACTCCATTGCTGCATGGGGAGGGGGATAGGTCAATTTTTGGTACTGGGGATGTGGTGAAGCCATCTGCCGCATTTGCTCCCGAGCAAATGTCGGCCTTTCTAGTTTCAGTTTGTGTAACTTAAACTCTAACATACATGTTGTCCACTGTGTATTTAGTATATCGTAGCTACCTTTGCGAAGCTGGCCGTACTGTTAATCCTGGGCGGTGTGGACGTGCCTGGTTCCTCTGGCGTCGTGCTCTCGTAACGCATGGACGCACTGGACGCAATCCGCGGGAACGAACTCTGACCTATACATTGGAAAAATACTCACCATGTCAACTGTTATTACACTGATTCTGGTAACCCTTTGTCCAAGAAGTGTATTACTAGTCATTACAAATTTAACATGTAGAAAATGTTTTAATTTTATGCTATAATAATAGTATATGAATGATCACACATTGTGGAGTTGAAAGTTATTTGTTATAAATTTGTTTGTTTTATCTTTTATTTCAAATTTTCTATGATGTCTGGAAGAGGTGGAAGATATTGACAACAATACAAAATATCAGAGTGTAAAACAAAGAAACAAAGCTATGCTACAAATAGAAAGAGAGAAAAATTAGACACAGAAATGTAAGAGATTGTAGACTTAGTAGAAAATTATATGTATCTTTGCCAAAAGAGCAATGAAGCAAAAGACTAAAACTCAGTCTGACAGTCTAAAGTAGAAAAGCTCTACTGAGCCACACTAATTCAATTTCATGCTTCCCACTACATTTGGCAATTTTACAAAATCAAGTACAGAAAGAACCCTCAGAAACACTTTGGAAACTTTTTCTTTCATTAAACTTTTCTTTTCCTCAATACCAAGCAAACGAATGGATTGAAGTTGTTGAATTAGTGTGGTTTTGTCAAAGCAGGGCTCAAAATACTGGGTGCATATGCACCTTAGTGCAAGAAAAATTGGAGCTGTGAAGGTATTTCTGATGTCTACCTGCACCTAACCTGCACTGGTCCATGTACTGGGTATATGCAGGTTAGTGCAGGTAAAATTGGAGCTGTGCAGGTATTTCTGATGTCTACCTGCACCTAACCTGCACTGGTCCATGTACTGGGTTTATAATAATATTATACAAAATATACAAATTTAATGTACATGTACATGTAGGTATAGGTGCAGGTTACCACATGAAAAAAAATTGGTTTCTGAACAGTTTTTAGCATGATCCATACTTCCTAAATTCTGAGTGGTGCAGGTAGAATTTGTCTGGTGTAGGTTATTTTCAATGTTACCTGCACCAGTGCACATACATGTACATGTATGCAGAAAAACATATTTCGAGCCCTGCAAAGGAAGATTAAACCAAGAAGCTCGGAAATAATCCGTGCCTTACCCGGCGAAGCTCCCAAAAGAGGAGACGAAGACGGAGTAAGGTGATGAGCAGAATGAGACACGTGAAGTTCTGAAGACACAAGAGTCAACCAGGACAATGGCACAACCAAACAAGACAGCACCACAACATAGGAGGACAACAGAGGACAAACATGCAATAGGAGAAACCACATGATAAATTTAGTGTTAGAAAGCAAAGAATTAAAACATGTATATTAGAGAGATCACAAAAATTCTTAGAAATTTCAGTTAGGTATAAAATGAATGACGTTTTACAATAAGATAGTATTACACATAAACCCCTGGAATTGTGACAAAGTTTATTAAAGGCATCCAATGCAGTTTTTAGGACTTCGAAATCCAATTTTTCAAAACCAATATAATTCTAGTAATTTATCTAGTACATACTGAGTTGAAACCACACTATCCCAATGACCAACTGACCCTCATGGAACAAAATTACCGAAAATTCTGACAGCAAATGGTTACTGGAAGGGCCCTTGGCTGATTTTTAGGGTACCACCAATAAAACAATGGACTCATCTTGGGGCTTGTTTTTCCATTTTTATTACCAAAGTATGACATACTGATTGAAATGTGCTAATGTGAAGCAGTATGTGTCAATATCATAAAGATTGCCTCATTCAGAATATTTCCAGTTTTGCTGCTCTGAAATCGCATTGGATGCCTTTGATTAAGTTAGAAGAATGTGGGAAAATGCATTTAAGCAAAGAGCTATCAGCCTTCAAGCTCTTACTTTCCGACCCCTGTTCGTTGAGTTTGTTGGGGTTGGAGAAGTTTCTTCTGAGGGAGGCCAAGGAGGGAACCATGGGGAACATGGCTGCTTTGCTACGCCTGGTCTGGTGGTGATGGCGGCTCAGCAGAGCGTTCAGGACTTTGTCACGGTCCTCTTCCTGCAGCTGGCCCTTCAACACCATGTTATCTAGAACCAGATCTGTTTAAAGGAAAAATAGAAAATATGTTAGGTATGGACTATATATTTTTGTTTATTCCAACACATGGTGACAGCACACTCATTTTTATGTTTACCGAAGGAAAAGATAATAATTGTTTTTGCCCAGTTCTTCCTCTTCTTCTTCTATTCCAAACACCAACCTCTGACCTGGCCAATGACATGATTTGTTGATGTCTGTCACCATGGTGACTGGTGTTGGGTTACATAATGTTGCAATTTCATGGTCTGCTCTGCTCCTGTCACCATATACTAGTACTAGTAGTACATGTATGTGAATGTGTTTGAGTAAGAACAAGAGTTCCACGATCTCATACCTTCGCCAAATGATGTTAACCCTTGCGGTTGAAGAATTATACAATTTTAATAATTGATTTTGCAAATAAGATCCTCATTTGCATGGGTGATCATATTCTCAACCCAATGACAGTCTTATCTTAACAAAAAGGCTACTATAGCACTTCCTCATAAATTATGCAAATGAGGTCATGATTTGAATAAATTATGTTTATTGCTGTTCGCCTTTACTTAACTTCCAAATGTGGCAAGTATGAAATTCCCAGCAGTTACAACTATAAAATTATAAAGATTTTCCATTAATTATGCAAATTAGGTCTTCATTTACATAATCTATATCCTCAGATTTTTTTTCATTCTCAATTACATTTAACAAGTGTTTCATAGTCCTATTATCGAACAATGCAGAGTTTTAGAATTTCCTCATTAATTATGCAAATTAGCTCCTGATTTGCATAATTATCATTTGATTATGTCAAGTATCACTTCAGCTACCTACATACCAAAAATGATGACAATCCGTCACCCGGTTCCTTAGTTATCATCCTTCGAAAAATTTTCAACAAATGCTCCTGCAGTTCCAGAACAAGCCGCTAGGGTGCCCAAACTTATGTCACTTCTTCCCTACCCCAAGAGCTATCTACCAACCAAAATTCGTGACCCTAGCATGTACAGATCGTGAGATATCAAAACCGGAAGTTCTGCTGCAGTACCAACAGAAGCCGCCAGGGGACCCAAAATCTAATCATTTCTAGCTCTCATGAAGACCTACCCACCTACCAAGTTTCATGACAATGCATACTTAGCTTCTTGAGTTATGCTGTTCACAAACAGACAGACAGACAGACGGACAAACGCTACTGAAAACATAACCTTCTTGGCGAAGGTAATTAACAGACCAGACCATGTCCAAAGGAAAACATTACGCATTTGCTTTGTAAATGTTACTTCTCTAGTTTTCAACTTATTTCTATGCTGCCACCAGTGCAGATGGCAATAGACAATACTCATTTTCACCTGTGTTAAGTAAGGAAAATCATGTAAAGTGCCTTTCCCAAGGGCACATAATTGGTGACACGTCAGGATTTGAACTCTGGACCTCTTGGTTCTAAGCCTTAAGTAAGACAGGGATACCCACTAGCGATGTCTGTGAGATGGTTGGCATCCATGTCCAAGAGGACAGTTCCTGTCAGGATACAACTTCTCAGCTCAAACAGGCTGTGCAGAGACAAGGTGGCCACGTGGGGTTTACTCCATCTGTCTCCTCCCTCCTCTACATCCTCTTCAAACTTCACCCATCTGTGGAGAAAACATCAAAAGATAAACTAATTAGTACTTTCGACCAATCACAGCTCAAACAGGCTATGCAGAGACAAGGTGGCCATTCACTCCATCTTTCTCCTCCCTCCTCTACATCCTCTTCAAACTTCACCCATCTGTGGAGAAAACATCGACAGGAGTAAACTAATTAGCACTTTCAACCAATCACAAGTCTCTAGAAGGTCACATGACTTTGGTGATTGGTCATTGGTGAAGAAGGCTGGAGTAGACATAAAAACTCCCTTGCTAGGTATCAATAGGCACTGACATGTAATGTCTAGATTAAAAATGCAATGCTGTTATAATTTTGGAAATAAAATTTTAGGCTTTACATGTAAAGATCTTGTGCAATAACTTTGAAGGTAGTAAGAGAAATACATGTAGAAGTTTGAGGGGTGTACATGCTGTATTACGATTTTTTTTTCCAACAGGTTGTATATGAGTTATGACATAAAATTATGTAGATATATGACATAGCAGTTGTCTAAACTAGAATGTAGACAGATATAATTAAAGCTGTAACATTACTACACATGAGTTATTACAATCATATTGGATATGATAGACCTCAATAAATTACATTTATCGTATCAATTACAGCCTGGGGCAAATTTCAGTGTCAGACCCACTAATAATTATCTGTCATAATGTGAGGCTAATAATGGGGTATATGGGTATCCCAGTATGTACTCTGCGTTAAAAATCAGGCTTAAAAAAACAGCAGAATTCAATTTTTCAACAGCCTGGGTCCTTGTTGTTTCATGTTCTAAAACGCAGTCTGCTACAGTAAGTGATTTGAAGTACTGAAATAATATAAATGTTGAAGCCTTAGTTTTTAATCACTTCAAGGAACCTAGAAACCCATTTAGTACCCTCCAACTGATATCAAATCATTCAAATTCCATGGGGGATGAAATTAGTGAGCAATTCCCTGTCTGTTTACATGTTCCTGTCACATTGACTGGAATAATTCATTTAGCACAAATTCCTTCCTGAAGGTTGTACCAAGGATGGGTTGACATTTGTTTAGTGCATTTGAATATCATCATGAATATATTATTTGACATCATGAATAGGACCTTATCAACGTCACAACATCAATTCTATTAGATGCAAAATGTTTGAAATCACTGAAAATTTTTGGCAAACGTAACTTTCCTTACATAATATTTATGTGCATTCTGACAATATATGCGAAAGAAATTTGGCATGAATGTGTTCTAGTAAACCTCTCTACATTGTATATTATTTTCATTCAGCTAATGTGTTGCTTTTGACTAATGTGGGACAATGCAAAATATATTGCAAATTAAAGCTAGGAATTTCATGTTATGATACTAGTTAGATGGGTATGATGACATCCTATTTAGAGGTCATTTGGGTATGAAGGACCTAGCACGTCGGCAAAAAGTACTGTGCCTGCGTGAATCCTGTAAATGTATTATACACATAGCACTTCGGCAGAACGTCTTGTTATAAGGTCGTATCTGCGTATACATGGTTAACATCCCGTCTGTAGTTTCCAAGTGTTATGTCGGAAAAGATGTCATCTGCAACAGGCAAAATTCTGACACAACGTTGACCAAGCATCCAACGAAAACTGTAAAAAATCAGGCGTAGTACATTTTAAATGTAGCTGCTAACGTGATGGACTTCTGTCTGAATCACTGTGATTTAATGAGGAAAAGCTAAGCCATCATATAGCAAAATAGTGGCAAGTTGCTCCTACATTTAACCTATGCTGTGCCCCATATGTTATAAGGTACAGGCAGCCAAGTGTCAATTTCCCTGTTGTACCTCAGACTATATTCAGCTTCTGCATCAATGAATCTTTAATTTTTGCATGGAGAAAAGGTGTCGTTTCCCCAAAGGGTTTCAAACTACACTTCTCTGTGTCTCAAAACAGATCAATGACTGTTCTTCACTCTGAAGTCGTGTCTAAGGCCACACCAATTTAATTTCTTGGTTAACGGATTTTTCTAGAAAAATAATGGCGCGGGCGGGCGAAAAAAAACAAAAAAAAACAGGCCTTAAGGCATCCTATTATGGCCCAAAATGGTACGATAGGAGCCATGAAGTCAACACAAAAGGCTGGTTCAAAATTTAAACAATGAATTTTGTAACAACTAGAACGAAAAGGACTGTTTTCAGTTGTTCAGGGCAAAATATGAGCATTTTGCAGTTGATTCTGAATTTTTATTTTTATTTGCAAATCAGAAAAAAATGAAGCGGGCGAATCCGTTAACCAAGAAATTAAATTGGTGTGGCCTAAGCCTGAAGGAGCTATCTATGTTACACCGCGGCTTATGAAGTCCCAATTTGTATACAGAATCTTCAATCAAAATGCTGTAGGCTGCTTCCGATGCAAATGAGGCCTTTATGGAAGAGTCAGGCTGCTTGAAAGAAATACTGTGCTGTAAAGAATCAAATCAGCGACAGGTTGTAGACAAATTTAATTGGGAGTCTGGCGGGCACAGTCGTGAAAATCAACTTTGCATGATTTAAGATGATAAAGACCTACGTTGTGTATCTACTAAAAATGGCAGAAAGATCTTCTTTTAAGCAGTCTTGACAAAGTTTTTTAGTACAAGCAGTAAGGGGAATGAAAGTAAAATCCTTCGTAATATAATATTATGATTTGTACTTTGTAATTAAAAGTAAAAGCAAAGAGACAGATTTCTGACCATTTAACTTTTCAGCAGTTTTCTAACTTTTAGATCAATTCATTAAATGATCAAGAATTATGCAATACTATCCTTTATAACCATTCAAAAAGGCATTTTATATCTCATACATTTTGTAACTCTGTCACCATTGCAATTTTGCAAAGTTATGTTTTCCCTCAGTCTGTAATAATCATTTTTCCTGTGTAATTTTTAACATCAAATTCTAAATTGTAGGGAGTTCAAATCACAGCATAGGGGGTTGAGTCACATCATACGGGGTTAAATCACAGCTTTGGGGGTTCAAATCACAGCATAGGGGTCCAAATCACAACATAGAGTCCAAATCACAACATAGGGGGTCCAAATCACAGCATAGGGGGTTAAATCACAGCATAGGGGTCCAAATCACAGCATAGGGGTCCAAATTACAGTATAGGGGTCCAAATCACAGCATAGGGGTCCAAATCACAGCATAGGGGTTCAAATCACAGCATATGGGTCCAAATCACAGCATAGGGGTCCAAATTACAGCATATAGGGGGTTAAATCACAGCATAGGGGTCCAAATTACAGCATATAGGGGGCTCAAATTACAGCATATAGGGGGTTAAATCACAGCATAGGGGTCCAAATTACAGCATAGGGGGTTCCAAATCACAGCATAGGGGTCCAAATCACAGCATAGGGGTCCAAATCACACCATAGGGGGTTAAATCACAGCATAGGGGTTCAAATCACAGCATAGGTGTCCAAATCACAGCATAAGGGGTTCAAATCACAGCATTGGGGGTCCAAATCACAGCATAGGGGGTCCAAATCACAGCATAAGGGGTTCAAATCACAGCATAGGGGTCCAAATCACAGTATAGGGGTCTAAATCACAGCATAGGGGGCCCCTACACTTAAACAGCCTGTTGAGAAGACTGTACATGTACCTGGCACACTCCTTCCATTCCATCTCCATGTCCTCTCCCATGTGCAGTTCCTCCATCTCAGTGAAGATGGTGGGAGTCTCCTTCTTCTCTGTCTCGTCATCTCCTCCAAGGATGAACTGTACACGCTGGCTGGGAGGGGTGACTACAGAGAAACAACACAGACTTTTATCAGACAACACATTAAAGTTGACTGAGACAACACATTAAACTATACTATAACATCAGGGCATTACAACCATCCCTCAACAGAGACGGGGGGCGCCACAGACTTTCTGCAACCTATGATCCACTGCTCATGGTGTCACGTGTGTTATCTGTGTGACGTCACGGAAGCGGTGGATTGTTCATTCCTTGACAAAGACTGGAGTTGTACAGTCGAAAATTTGGGTGAGTCCAATTTCTTGTGTTGGAAATTACAGTTTAAACATGCTGCATAATGACTTCTACCAACACAGATGAAGTTTCAAGATAACATTAAACTACACATTGCATTTCTACTATGTAAGATCACAAAACCCACTCATTATGCAGAACATGGGACTATTCATTATCCACTGCCTTCAAAGAAGAAGTCAATTCTCATATTAGCAAGTGTAGTAGTAGAAGTATATTTTTTATTAAGTTTTTTTTCTTTGTTCCCTATTATTGTATTATCTTTGACTCTGTACATTGACAATAATTGTAACAAATAAAGTATCTACAAACATTAAAGATTTTAAAAAAAGCTCACAAATACAGACAAACTCAGCTTGTTTTGGGACTATTTCAAATGCTTCAATATGCTATGAAATGGCAGTAAAACTCAACATCATACAGATTTCCTCATGAAGAATTTTTTTTTCATTTTGTTGCCTTGTAATTGCTTTGGATGCCTTTGAATAGCGAGACATCCTAAGTCTTAAATTTAATTCAAGTCTCACGAGACACTAAATATATTATTATTTTTTCATCAGCATTCAGGTATGGTTCAGAGCTGTATGTGGTGTAAAGGTACAGTTACGTAAAACAATTGTAGCTTTCCAGTTAATAATTGATACAGAAGGACGCTTGCTTTATATGTTGGGTACATACACCACCCCCAAATGTAAACCAAGCCTGTACCATACTGTACATAGTGACTGTTAACATGTGACCACAGCATGACTGGACAACTGTATCTCTAAACAAATATCATGTCCAAAATCCTGATTATTCAACTGACAAATGAACACCTTGTCCAGTATTCAAAAAGGTTTAAATTTCTTAAAAAGCTGGTTGCCACTGAAAGGCAACACCCGGTAACCATTTTTTAGTGTCTCTGTCATCCTTGAATGCCAAAATAAGGATAGTCTTAAATTTGTTTTTTCCGAGCTTCCATTTAAACAAACTTTGAATTAATTTCCCATTCTGTAAGTTTTTTTTCCTCCCAACAAGCTATAATTTTAGTAATTTCAATCAAGGAGCATCTTTTGAAAATTAGAATCCAGTCTTGGACTCTTTTCCTCTATCATTATTAATGATATAATATAATTATTATTTCTTCCTGTAACATCCTACAACCTTTCTCTCAGAAAAAAAACTATAGCTGAAAACCCCATTATTAATAATAAAAATCATATATAATCTACTGGAAAGCAAGTCATTCCATGAAATCATCCAATAATGACCGAGAGCATATTCAAGTGACATCATCTAACACCTTGTCCATATAGATACCCTATATAAGCATTTAAACGCATGATAGCTCAAGCAAAATTGGAACACTTAGAGATCTTCTTATTAAGTACTCTTTAATAACAATGCAGCATCTTATTTCCGACCTGGAGGTGTGGGAACGTTGTCCTTATTGTCCTTGTCGTTCTTCCTGTGGCTCTTGTGGTGGCCATTTTTACCGCTACGTTTTTTCTGGTGTCTGTGTTTTAGCGGGACATGTACACCTACGTAGACATTCTTGTGACCTAAGAAGAAAAGAAGAGAAAAAAACATGAAATTTCTTATCAAACCATTAGGATACTGAGTTAGCTGCAAATATGTCAAGTACCAAATCAAAAGCGTAAACAAACTGTATGAATGAATGCATCACTTGAAGTTAACAATGCTAAAAAAAACATCCAAAAAACACAACAATTCAGACCAATTCTTAAAACCATGCCTAGAAGTCTACTATGGTATTCTAAGTACCCAGTACTTGTTGGCATATACGAAAGGACCAAAAACAACACTGTATCGTATTACTACGCTCACACTTCACCATTACATGTAGTGCACCAACTTGGTTTAACTTAAGACATGCTAATAGTTCAGAACTGCCAGATTTTTTTTCCAAAAAATTGCATCTTTATATCCATTAGATGAAAGGTATCTCAGTGGTCTAAGTATCTTGTTGGGGCAAGACTAATTATAGTAATACATCTTTAGCAACAAATTGTCAACAAAAACATTATGAAAATGTCATAAAAGATATCAAAACACCAGTAAGTATTATCTTTGAGAATTTCCAGTACTTTTTTTTAATTTTAACGGAGTGGTTCAATGCAAGGCCTATACAACCACTTCTCGGCATTGAACTAGAAATATGAGAGAAACATGGCTATGTCAAGAGATGGCGGTGAACGTTTGATTTGAAAGCCTGTAGATTGTAGGTTGGTGGGAAACACTTGTCAGGGAGGGAATTCCAAAGCTTGGCCGTACGGGGAAAGAAACTGTCACTGTAAAAAGATTGCGAACAAGGAATTTGGACGGTGAAGTATTCATTCAAAGCATCTGTTGTTATTGTTTTTTATAAGTACATGGCAAACAATAATAAACTCAGCAAACAACTTGGCCTGTCCTTTCTTACATATCATGAAATATGATTCCATCAAAAGATATGGGCTGTTAGTTCTTCCTACCATAAACAATGTCAACAATGGTAGAATGAAAACGCTAACTTAAAGGTTTAAAGCAACAAGTTGTAGACTTACGGTCAAAGTCGGTGTGGTCCCGGTCAGCCAGTCTGGCCGCGCTGGCGGCTCGAGTGTCCAGGACCGGCTGTTCATCGTAACCGGACACTGACAGGTCCATGGTTCACACCTTCTGTAACAAAGTAACAGGCGGTCAAACAATGTATCTGGTTTCAATGTTGTGGTTCATTTTCTTCTATATCTGTGTCTGTATAGCCGGTATAACCGCCCTTTAGCGTAACACACCAGCTTCTGTATCTGTATAGCCGGTATAACCGCCCTTCAGCATAACACACCAGCTTTGCAGGCACACGGCGCGGCAGCAGCTGGCTATATCACCCCGAACGCCTTGTTACCCCTAACCTTTGAACATCTAACTCCAAACATTGGTTCAAGCTATCTAATGATAATGCCCCTACTGTACTTGGTGACAGCGAGTTCCACTCTGCGATAGTTCTATGGAAGAATGAGTTTTTGAACACCTCAATCCTCAAACTGATACTTGAAAGTTTGACACTATGACAAGACAAATCCATGGTAGAAATCTTCTGCAAGAAAAATAACCTGACCAGGTCATTCTATGCCTTATCTGTTATCATTATCAACGTATTCAAATATGACACGAGGTCTCATGATAAAGTATGATTTGGTTGGTATTTGAACAATCTACACTAGATCCTGGCAATTAGTTGGGTATGCTACAAGCTGTGAATTCCAACATAGGCCACACCAATTTAATTTGTTGGTTCTCGGATTCGCCTCTTCGTTTTTTTCTGATTTGCAAAAAAAAAAAAAAATTTGATTCTGGTCCTGAATCAACTGAAAAATGCTCATATTTTGCCCCCAACAGTTGAGGAAAGTCCTTTTCTTCCTAGTTGTTACAGTTCTCCCATCTATCATTGCAGTGGTTTGATTAAAAGTTTAAAATTCAATGTTTAAATTTTAACCCAGCCTTTTGTGTTGACTTCATGGCTCATTCCGTAGCATTTAAGCCTATAATGGGATGCCTACACCTCTTTTTATTTATTTTTTTTTTCGCCCTGTCGCTTCATATTTTTTCTGAAAAAATCCGAGAACCAACAAATTAAATTGGTGTGGCCATATGCCTAGAAAACAAACTGCCCCTCCACTTTGAATCTGAACAAGACTGTTTTTCGTACACTTTATGACTTCTTATCTTATCAGATAGGTTTTCAGCATACAAAATAATAATTTTTCTTTGACAGCTTTAACTATAGCAAAGATAATGTCTCATTGAATTTCCCCCTTGACAACCAACCCCTTATTTAAAATTAATGGCAAATTGCCAGTTGCAATTACAAATGTATAATATACTATCAAACATACTATATTGAGAGATCAACTATTAGAACTATTGTATAGCCACCTTTCTCTAAGCTTTCTCCCCCTTTTGTTGCAAACTGTACAAGACACGGCTAATTAAGTTTACATGAATGGACCAATCAAAAAGCATTGTTGCTAATGTCATTGCCCTGAATGGATTGCCTGCCCTGAACTGTAAATAGAATCACACAAACAGGTCAAGGGTCACACTAAAACATGTCTAACCTTGTAAAGGTGGTTTACGTAATTTAAAAGGACGTTAACCATTAAACCACTATACCTACACCACGCCTCTTCGGTCTATTTGCATTATACATCTTACGTACGTAAGTATGTACAAAAATAACCCTTTTTACACATGTTATTTATTCGCCACTGACAGAATAAATATGTGCTTTATTGCTTGGCGATATTGCAGTCAAAAACCCTGTCAGTTATGTTTCTAAATTAAAAATCACAGAGGTGAAAATCATCAATCAAAGGAATAAAAAAAAACCTTTCTGGACCTACATAAATGTGCTAGAACTTAGTAGAAGATAAAAAAAATTACACAGTAATCAGTTGTAGAAATACTTTTTTCGCAGTGTTCTGCAATATTGCGGAATGTTAAAATTTTGTTCTGCAATTCAGAAATACTTTCTGCAAATACACACCCACTTAATTCTGCAAATACAAACCCATAGCATGGCATACAAAATTGCATTTTGGCAAGCATTTTAATGCAATTTGAAAAATACATGCAGAATTACTTGTATATTATTTATAGTCAGTAGTAAACACAAAAGCTTTTAAACACTACTGAACCACTAGCCTGATTTTTTCAGTCTGCAATATTACAGATTCCTTAATTTTCTTCTGCAAAATGCTGTGAAAACGTCTCTGCAAAATGCAGACTGCAAATGCAGGGCTCAAAATTCATCTTTGGGAATAGGTGCAGGTGCACCCAACCTAAAACATTGGGTGCACAATTTTTTGGGGGGTGCAAGTGCACCTTATAAGATAAGTTAGAATGTCAACAAAAACTAATTAATATGTACTGTACTAAGTACTAAGCACTGTAACAATGATTTTATTTTTTTCTGACACTTAGACGTTAGGAATATGCTGTATACTACTATAAATTTAACATCTTTACATACGTAAACCTAAGAAAATATTTGGGTGCACTGGTGCACCCACAGAAAATAATTGGGTGCACAGCTCCAAATTTGGGTGCACTAAGGTGCACATGCACCTAGTATTTCAAGCCCTGAAATGGGTATTTCTAACACTGGTAATTATTCTCTGGCATGGTGACAGCCTTGTCTGAAAGGGTAACACGTACAGAATGACAGATATGCAGACCGTTTTAGACGTCCTTGTCTACAACTTATGTCGACCTTGTTCAGAATTTTACAGGGGGTGACCGAGTGTCAGAACTCAACTGATCTGTTTTTGTTAGGAACTCTGTCTGACGTTACTGAAAGTGGATATGGTGATCACACTTCCTAAAATAGCACGTGGTGACTGAATGGTCATTGCAACGGACACTTATTCTTGCTTCAAAAAATACTGACAAAAATATGCCTGCAGGACCAAAAGAAGCTGCCAGGGGGCCTAAATCAACACCATTTCTTCCCAAGTCTCCAAAACTGGATACAATTTCGTAGTACAATGCAAAAATTATGATGATATGGCATGTTTACAACGAGATACAAAAAAACAGACAATTTCACTGCAGTACCCTAGATAGTTGCTAGGAGACCCAGAATAAAACAATTACACCCACCAACATACTAATCATAAATTTTAGTAAATATTATGATCCTCTTGAGTTATGATGTTTATATCATATATGTTTATGAGTTTAACCACAAACTTTACTTAACACTTTATTACTTCTTGTTCAGTTATAAATATATCACATTAACTGTTACTCTCTTCTATATATGCTGATGTTGATAAAAAAAACACACAGCATTTGGGCCTAGGGCACTATCATAGTCAAGGGGCACCATTAGTACATTGCTGGCATACAAATGTCAAGGGCAAGATGCCAGATTGTGGATCTCCCAATTACATACACATCCTTCTGCCAACTGCTGCATTGTATTTACATTTTCTAAGTACGATTTTCTTTGTGGAAGTCAGAATTCATTTATTATAAAGATAAATCTAATAGTCTAAGGTGGTATCATTATTATTAGTTTCCGATATAACTTAAAAAATAATATTAGAAGACAAACAAGAAATGTACATGTGGCATACATACATGATGTAGTATAAATTTGACGAGTTGTAACTTCTATATACTACGTACTACTACATGTAATAGTCAGATGCAAGATTTCTTCCCTATAGTATAGCCCACTGTTTTCTCTTAATGGTCCTCGTACTAAATTTTTACTTTAAAATATTAGAGAAGCAAGGAAATAATTTGGTTTGGCCTAAGTAAGAGTAAAGAAATCCTAGTACAACATATACAGTCATATAAAATGCTTCAAAGTCAACTGGAAAAAATGACATCACTGTTCAACCTTGACCTTCATTTCAGCCAACAGCGGACCAACCATGTGTATGTAGCGTGAACACAAAACGTGAGAATAAACTAATAAGACTAAGACTAGTAGTAAGAGTATCAGATCTAGCATTGGAATGTTGGCTAGCTGCACTTCTATGTATCTGTATCTGTGTCTGTATAGCCGGTATAACCGCCCTTCGGCGTTACACACCAGCTCCTGTAGCTGTATAGCCGGTATAACCACCCTTCGGCGTAACACACCAGCTTCTGAATCTGTATAGCCGGTATAACCGCCCTTCGGCGTTACACGCCAGCTTCTGTAGCTGTATAGCCGGTATAACCACCCTTCGGCGTAACATACCAGCTTCTGTATCTGTATACATATATATAGCCAGTATAACCGCCCTTCATGTAACGCACCAGCTTTGCAGGCACGTGGTGCGGCGGCAGCTAGCTATATCACACCGAACGACTTGTTACACTCAATCTTTGCACATTTAATTGCAGGAGTTGTTTAAAGCTTCCTAGCGATGATGCCCCAACTGTGCTTGGTGGCAACGAGTTCCACTCTACGATAGTTCTGAGGAAATACAAGTTTTTGAACACCTTCATTGTTGCTTGATAACTCTGATATTTGAAGGCATGACTGTTTCTCGTTCTTTTCTGGGCTGGGCTCTGTAACTCCTTAGCTGCACATAACACCATTTGGGAGCTAATCATTAAAAGGGTCCCTGTACAACATGGTACTTTACATTACAGTAAACTTTAAGCAGTCACCAATTGCCAATCATTATGCTATGGGGAGGGAAATGATAAAACTTGTGCTGTTACTGAATAAAAACTCTTTTTATGCAACCATGTGTTTTATTCAGCGGATGTTTCGGTGACCGTCTGTCACCTTCCTCGGGGCAATTCTGACTGGTTCACATTGCACAGCACAGGTGTCGCTGCTTATAGATGCATTCCCAAAGGAAAGTGACAGACGGTCACTAAAATATCGGCTGAATAAAACACTCGGTTGCCTAAACTGTTTGACTTAACTAACCTGATGAAACTGTTCACGGTTGTACGTGGTTCGTAGCGTTACGAAAATGACAGCGATGAGACAAAATTCGACCAGTTTCGACTTTATTCGCCTTTCTCGAGAATGACAGAGAAATGAACCACTCCTACTTTCATACCTTTTTCTGTGTCTCTCTAGTGCAGGGTGCTCTGATTGAATTTAAGATATTGACCAATCAGCATGAAGTATCTCATTTTGCCCTGGTCTAGGCTGGATTCACGGTTAT